TGTCCTTTCCTCCCACCCCATCTAAAGGAAAGGATGGCAGCTTGAGCAATTAATCAAAATTGGTTTCACGTGTCCAGAGGGGCGCAATTTAAATGGACGGGTAATTGCAGTAATAGGACCTGTGCCAGGTGATTTATAGGGTGTGCTCAGAGGAGGGGGCAGGGGAGAAGGGCAGCAAGAACCACCACGAGATGGGCTTTACTCCGGCCGCACCGTTGAGCCCGGAGAGGAGAAGTAACAAGGAAGTGGTGGGCAGCAAAACTACCCATAAAATGAGTTGTTGACAGGGCATTCCACTTTACAGCTTATAGAGGACTCTGGCGCGCATCCTCATGGGGCCTGCAACACACGCAGTCCTGTGCCTCAGAAAGTTACCCCCTGCTCGCAGAACTCTTACTACCTGCTATTTCTGAAGTCTGGAACCAAACACTGCATCCCTTGCTGACTAAATGCCTATTTTCTGAATTTGGGAACCAAATAGATGTGGATAGTGATGGATACTTGTATTACTGTTATCTCTTTGAGGCTCAAAGAGATTAAGAGACAGCCAAGGTCACACAGCTAGTAAATAGTAGAGCTTGGGTTTAGAACCAGGCTTACTGGCTCTAATTTCCAGCCTTTCTTCCTAAGTCGTGCCCCTGACGGGTGCCTCTCTGCCATTGTGGCAGAGTTAGAAGCTTGGCACTGGGCAGGAGGTGGGATTAGTCAACCTAACTCTTAAAGATTACCCTCTAACCAAGAGTCTATGATTTTTTTAAAGTCAGAACAGTTTAGAAAAAGTGGCCACATAAAGTAGAGTTAGGTTGGCCCAGAGGCTGGCCATTATAAGACCAGCTGTTGAATGCTCTGCGTTCTGCTGTTGCCGTGACCTCTCTCGGCACCACCCCTTCATGTGAGCAGAGGTGGTTTAGGTGGAATAAAGCCTGCGGAGGCACTATGGTGAATGTGGAGGGAGATGGTGAGCATCATCATTCATTCGCTCACTCACTACTCACTCAACAAACACAGACGACATTCTTTGTGGTAGGCGTTGGGCCAGAAGCTAGGGCTGCAGAGATGAACAGAAGGCCCTGGCCTTTGCCCTGGGGGAGCACAGTCTAGTGGGGGACACACACACGAGCAGATGACACAGTACACGTGGTAAGTTTCATGATGAAGATGCACGGGAACGTCTTACCCAGCCTGGGAGGTGCGGGAAAGGCTTCCTGGAGCTGTCCCCTGAGCGGAGTCTTGAAGGATGAGTTAGCCAGGTGGAGGAGCAGGAGGGCAGTCTGAGCAGGCGGGGCAGCGTGGGTAAGGCATGGAGGTGAGAAGCGGCATGGTGCACTGAGGGGACAGAAGCTTCTGCAGGCTGCAAGGAGCCCGCGGATGGTTTCAAGCAGGGTGTGACATGGTCAGATTTGCATGTTCTAAAGATCCCTCTGGCAGCATAAACCAGTAGCAGTGGCAGCACTTTACTTATCTTATCATCTGAAGCTCCCTTGGCCCCAGAACAGATGTCTGTGTTGAGATATTTATACATAATGCCAAGTTAATAAGCCATTGAGGGCCACTTACATGAGAACAAGAGATAGAGAGTTAAGCTCAATTCCAGTGTTTGAAATAAAATGCACAAAATGGTGGTCTCTGGTCCAGTGCCTTAGGCAGTGGGCACCAGTTTTATCTTGGTGTCTTCAGTACCAAATATATTTCTTATGAATAAAAGGCCTTTTGGATCATTTTGTGTACAATCAACATGCATTTTAATCACCCAGTCAGTTAATTTAGGACCCGAAGGAGAAAACCTGCACATCTGGCTGAGATAATTGGTCAGTTCAGTCAGGATGTTTGAGCCAGGTGTGTGGGAAGACCTGATCAAATTCTTATTTCCCCTGGTTTGTATCTAGGCCCCACGACTTAAAGAGGATCCTAGGTAAGCCGGCTGGAGGGCCTGTAATGGCCCAGCCAGACTGTGGCACTGTGAGGTCCAGTGTAGTTTTAGGTGAGAGTTAACTTTGTCTGAAACCTGATTCACTTCAGGCCAGCGCCAGCCTCCCTCCAGTGAAAGGAGAAACAGGGCAGGCTGCAGAGCAGACTGGGCCTCGTGCTTCCTTCGTTCAGAGCCAGACCAAGCTGGCCGGTGCCCTTCCACTTGGAGTCTTCCTTTTCTGTCTGTTACCTGGGGCAAACACCTACTCTACAATGTTAGGGCACCATGGAACAGCACAGAAAGAAAGGCTTTGTGAGCAATCAGTAAATATAGATTTATTATTCTTTTTGTTTAGGTCTGTGGATTCAAAGTAATTCAACAGCTGGGATTCTTTAAAAGTATTCTCACTCATCAGAGATTTTGCTTTAATCAACTTCAGAGATGCCTCATAGTTAACTAGCAGAATGATAGTGAACACAGACCTTTCAAGTACTGTAAAAGGAGGGGACGTGACAAGAAAGGACTTGTACTTAGTGTCCACTATGGGGTCCCTATAGCCTCTGTGTCAGTTCAACCTCACTCCTCTCCTCCCAGGTAGGTATTAGTATCCTCTTCCCCAAGGGAGGACACCAAGGCTGAAAGAGTGAGTGAACAACACAGGGCTCACAGCCAGCAGTGACTGCCATCCACGAACCTTGTACACACCTAAGTGTACTGCCAATGTTAACCAGCATTCACATGATGCAGAATAAAATGTGTAATGATGTTAATTCTGTTATTACAGATATGCTAGGACAGTCTAGGTGTTATGAGGATCTATACATTGAATGGCAGTGGGATGGAGGAGGTTTCATCTATGTGCCGGGCTCTGCCAGAGGGAGTCTAAGCGGAGTTGGTCCTGCTTGTTTGAAGCAGCTGCCTCTCCTGTCTAGGGAGCTTTGGCTGCCCAGCCACTGCTCCAGCCCTGCTGGCCTCAGGTCCAGCTGGGGGTAGGGCCTTGCTTCAACTTTAGATGGTCCACAGGCTACATCCTGAAAGAAACTTTTTACACCTGTGGTCCTGAAAGGGTAAACTACTTTAAGACATTTTAGCAGTAAGAGGACCTTGAAACCATGATGAATGCATTAAGGGAGTTCACAGCCTTTGTGAAATGGGACTTGACACTCCCCAAATCTAAGAGAAGCAGGTTTAATATTTAAAACCCTGGTGAAAAATATGAGGAATTTCACCAAGTATATACAAGCGCTAAGGAAATTAAAACATACAACTAATTTAGCAAGATGCCCTACTTTAAAACTAGAGAGCTGGTTTTAATCTTGTTTGTCTGCTATTTCAGTCACGTGCTCCCGATCTGCCTTCCGGGCTCGGGCAGCAGCAGGGAGCAGGGTGGCACCACCGCTGAGGCTTGCAAGAGTCCCCCGGGGCAGCTAGCATGGCTCCCCACCTTCCTGCCCTCTCTGTAGCCTAATTCTTGCCCTCTCTCTGATTCTGAGTGTATCTCACCTTTGCTCAGGTTATTCTCAGTGTCTTCATTATGTGTTTTTCTGTGTATCTTTTTCTCTCTCTGCCTTTATTTCTGCCTCTCTATTTCTCTCCTGTCTTTCTTTCCATCTGTCTTAATCTCTGGTTTTGATCAAAACAATCCTTAACTGATCAAGAGAACTGAGTATTGTACTTTTATGTATGTTTTGCTTATTGAACAGTATTTTGTGTTTTCTGCCTCATACTAAATAAAGCAGGCAGATAGGTGGAATGTTTTCTGTTTGTCTGGAAAACAAATATATAGTATTTTTCATATATGATTGATTCCTACCATGGTTCTTCCCCCAAATCCAGAAATTGGGAACTAGCAAGAGAATAAAAGTCCCAGCCTAGAGGTCCCAGCCTATGGCAGGAGAGGACCTGTTGTTGTTGCCCAATCTGTGGGTGAGGGTGAGAAGCAGGATGGCAGGGAGCATGCAGAGGTGGAGGGGGCAACCTGGGTGTATGGAATGGAGGTCTCAGTTAGCAACCACCCATTCTTATGGCACCAGGCCTTTCCATGTCAGGTTTTGCCACTCTCCAGTCTTTGCTTTGACCCTCCCTGAGTGAATTATGTCCCCACAACCATGCAGCTCCCTCTGTCTGGCATGGCTTGCTCAGCCAGACTCTGTTCACCTAGTCAGCCCATCTATGAGGTCCTCCCTGATCCATGGAACCAGCTAGAACGCCTCACTGTAATCAAAAGCGGGGTCTCAGTCATCCTGGCTTCCCAGTGTCCAGCGCAGTGCCTGGCACATAATAGGTATTCAATCAACAGATATTGGAAAAAGGAAGAGGGATCCCCTAGGAAAGTATAGAATCTTTTGCCTCCCACTTTAGCAGAAGGATATCAAAGTGGGCAAACTTGGCCGTAGCTCTGAGGCTCCCAGCCGGCTTGGCTCTGCGGCCGGTAAGCCTGCCCCTGCATTACCTGCACACCCACATCGCACCCACTCTCCAAGGTCCCTCCCCCATGGGGCCTTCTGATTCCCACCCCAGGTAGGAAGAAATCTGCCCTCCATCTGCGCTCCCAGTTACCTGACCTGCTGTTACCCTATTTGGACCTCTCTTATGGCTGTTAGACACACAGAAGACTGCCACCACCATAACCCACACAGTGAGCCAGCTCCCCGAAGGTGCAACCTCCACAATGACCAAATGAAATGAATCCGTGAAGGCGTCTCTGTCATCCCTTGGGAGGAGAAAAAGCCAGAACCAACAGTCCTGTGGGTTGACAGGAGGTGGGTGGAGAGTTACCACCAGCCTCCCAGGCAGAGCTGGGTGCCGGCGGTCACTCATTCCCAGCAACACGGGATCAAAAACGTTACACTACCTTGTTGGCCAGTGGGTCTCCCGGTCCATCTTCGCCTTTCCCAACACTTAGCTCTGACTGCTTGCAATTAGTATCTGAGAGGCAATCTAAAAGAGTCAAGCTGCATTATAGAGAACCCCAGAAAAACTGCAGGGCACAGCACATCTCGTGGAGAGTAGCTCAAATGGCAAAGGTTGATTCCTCCACCTACTCAGCTGGGCCTTACCAAGGAAATAAGATCAAGAAAGTGGTATTTGTCTTTAGCATTTATTTATAATTGGAAAAACTGTTTGTTTTTTTCTGAGCAAGCACAGACCACAAGCACGTCACAATCAATTGGCTATACATGAATATTTTTGTCATTTTCTTACTAACAGCAGGAATGAAATAGCACCAAGAGAGGTGTGCGCTACATAGTACATAGACAATCTGTGGTATGCAACAAAACCCAGGCCACAAAATCGTAATTAGACACTTCCTGTCTGCCTTGAAAAGGCCAAGATATAACAGACCGATTGGAAGCACCAGCGGATAACAAAATGCCTTCCAGAGCCAATGCACAGTGGTGGGGGTCATTTGCAGGCAAGCAAAGCTGACAGTGGGAAAGCTTCTACCTGCTTGCCAGGTGTGTTCAGGCAGCCATAGGGATATGTACAAACATGGACAGAGCAGGCACTGGAAGCACAACCAAAACACTGCTTGTGAAACCAAAATCCATTTCAATCCATATGTTTGCGATACAGAATGACGCTGGCTGAGTTTTATTTGTAAACAGTAGAAATCAGAGGACGTTTCTTGCCAGTGAAGACACATTCAAGAGTCAAAGTGAGCTACAAATGGGGTTTTCTTGGTTGGAGATTAAGAAGAGGTGGATAGTGAAGGATTGAAAAGACACTATTCAGGTCTTCTAAAGCCTCAGCTGGGGCAGGGTAGGAAATTCAGTCCCTGGGGCTGCAAGGTGGGTGGGAAACTCTGCAGTGTGGGCAACACAAACTTGAACCAGACACAGCAGATCAAGTCATATGTGTCCTTCTGGTTGTGCTGCTGTTTGCACTACCTGCCATGTCTAGCACAGTGTCTGGCACATATTCAACAAGCAAATTTTGAGTGAATGTTCCCCTGTACATTGTAAAGTCTGATTTAACTGATCTGCAAAAAATATATGACTACCTATGGAGAAACCCAAGTTGTGGCTAACATCAACATGTCTGACTAATGCCAGATCTTGAGAGAACAAACACATTGGCAAATTCTCTGGATAAAGTTAGGATCATGTTGATAGAGCACTCTGGTTAATGTTGGGATCAGCTAGAAAATAGCTTGGATCTGTACTGAGATCTACTCATTTCCAGACAGGCATCAAAATTTGTGATTCATAAACTCAGAAACTCACTAACATTTTCTACCTTCTTCCACACTTCTCAGTTCCACACCCGGAGACAGATAGGCAGACGGCAGCAGGCCTGGCCAAGCACATCATTTCTTTTTCATTTCTGTTCTTTCAAGAAATATGGCCTGCATAGCAGATGCTCAATTAATTTGCAAAAGACTTGTCAATCAGCCCCGAAGTGACAAACAAAATGGCACAAATGGATGCTTTGTTGCTTGAACGGTCAGAATATGTGAGCACTTGTGGAGGCTCCGCTTCCTCCAAACCAGAAGGACCTACAGGGACTTTTGAGGTAAGGAACTGTGAGAACTTCACGTTCCGCCACTTTCATCACAAAGAAAAGATAGTCCAACAATTTCAGAACACTGGCAACAGTAAGGACACGAGAGAGAAAGTGTGCTGGGTGTCGTACATGTCACAAGGTTTGCAAACGTAATTTTTCCACTAGGTATTTTGATTCCCTCACGAGCACTGGGGTTCTTTTCACAATAACTCTCTAATGCCTACGACACAACTCTAGCACAGCTAAAGTGGCACTTGCCACCACTGGGGGTTTTGGCCATACAGATACATGACACATAATACAGCTCTCACGGAGCTGCTTTTATTCATCAATGAGGTAAAAAATGTGTTGCTAATCACTTAGCAGGGAACTCCCCTAATCTTTAGCTAAGTCACAGAAATTTCCCATAACCCGAAGCTCAGCAACTTCTGTCCTTTCTGAGGAACAGAGCAAGCACAGATCAGGAGGGGAGAGTAAACATCCCCACACCTGTCACTATATCTACTTCCCATCCTGTGTTTCTCAGAAGCAGGAAAGCCACATTCTAAATACACTATCCTTACACCTTGAACTTTCTTCTTCAGAGGTCTGTATCCAGCTGCTCTGCAAAACCAGCAGCACTGGGCAGGCTGAGGGTAAACAGAGGCCCACAACCTCCTCATTTTTGTCATTTCCCTCTCATGTCTAGAATGTACTTACAACACCGAGCTCTTGTGCCCTGGCCTAGTTTCAGCCATCAGCGGCATGTTTATTACTTGGTATACAATTTAAAGCCCACTGACAGGAGACTAAATGCAGTTATGTATTTCTAACATTAGATTATATGAAAAAATTACTTAAACTTAATAGACAACTCATCTTACTGGCATTAAGGCCAAGGGTTTTTTGTTTTTTAAGTATTTCCACAACTTTTCTTAATTGCTGAAGCCCAAGTGGAGCTTCTGTAGCACTGAACTCTCTGAACTTTGGAAAAGAATACATTTACCTAAAGTTCAAAATCGATCACTGACACAGACCTTGGGAGAGAACAGGAGGATACCCTCTGGATAGTTCCAAGCACTACCAGGGATCCCCTTCGCGGCCATCTCCGAACTACCTCTGCACACTAAGTCCTGCCTGCCTTCTTCACCTGCATGCAGCCTCCCCCGCCACGGGAAGGCACAGCCAGTGAGCCACGCTTCCTGGTGTTCCAGGGACCCTGCAGCGTGTGGCTGGCTGCTCTAGATTTGGAGAGGGAGCATGCCACGTGGTCTTTGAAACAGGATTCCTCCAGTGTTTTATTTATTTTTTCTAGTTAAGAAACCAAACCAAAGAGCTCCTGGAACACTCAGGACTGAGGCAGATGAGAAGCCTCTAATCAATTTTGTGGCCTTTTTTGTTGGTTGGTTGGTTAAAAAAAAAAAAAAAGAAAAAAAAAGAGAAGAATAAAAGGAAAGTGCAGTGAAATTTACTCTTTCGCCTCAGCCAGTTTATTGTTCATCTCTTTACTTTGCTCCTTGCTGTCGGGTTGGGCAGCACTGGGACCCTCTGCACTCTTTTTCTTGGAGGCCCGGCCTGACACCACCTGCTTGTCTTTGGCCTTTCTTGGGGGCTTATGGCTTGCCGATGTCTTTTTTGGTTTGGAACTCTGAATACTAGGTTTCTCCACCTGCAGAGAGAGAGAGACAGACCGCAAATACAGAAACACAAAAAGGGAGGGAGCGGGAGAGAGAATTTAGAAAGAAATTGTGATTAATTGAAGGATACTGGCAATGACAACATTTGACACCGAGTCTGCGTAGGGAATGTTTTCAGTGACGTTAGATCCCAACCTGCTGGTTAGTCATTTTAGCAACACTCTCACTGGCCACCTTGGCTCCCTGGACTGCTGCCTCTCAGCCCTTGACCACCTGGGGGTGGACTATGTTACAATTTTGCAGTATTTGCTGTTTTTGCCTGTGGGAAGATTATAGCTCATCACCCTGTTCAACCTGGGTGGGCAAATGATTTGCCTCAGTCCATGATAAGTGAGCAGAAGTGCTGCAGGTCACCTCCAGACAGAGATCAAGAGTCAGCCTGTGTGTCCCAGTGCTCTCTTCCTCTGCTGCAGAGAGAGGCTGCTGTGTACCCGGAGGCTCAGACTGCAGAGGTGACCAGGAGTGGAGCTGCAGTTGACCCACGATGACATGCATTAATAAGGAAATAAACCTTTGCTGATGGAAGATGCAGAGATTCTGGGGTGGTTCATTACGGCAGCAGAAGCTTGCCTTTCCTGTTTCTGTTTCTAGGCCTGTGAGCCCGAGTGGAGAAATGTCCTTGCTGAGAGCCTTGGGCCAGGTGGCCTCGTCTTGGTGAGGTCTTCAGCCCCGCCCAGCCATCTGCACCTCCTCTCTGGCCGCCTCCCTGGACTGTCTGCCCAGGGCAGCTGTTTAAGTCCACTCCACTCTCCTCAAGTTCCCTCCTCTAGCTCTGCCCCTCATTCCTAGGAGAAGGCCTTGTCTGGCCTTGTCTTCTCTTTCTCAAGAACTCTGAGGCCACTATGTATGATCCCTCAATATGCCACTCACCTCCCATCTATCTCTAGATTGACTTTCCCCAATCTTCTCCCCTTCTTCCCCTTGAATCTTCTTTTGTCCAAAGACTTTCCATGTCCTGGGTCCCACCTTATCTGTGGAAGGTGGACAGAGAAAATGTTGGGCCTCACAGGCTAGACTGTTCACTCCATGAGGCCTGAGGGTTTTCAGTCACCCCGAATTGTAAATAAGGTGATCCGTTGTCCTGGTTTGCCTGGGATGGACGGCTTTCTCAGACCATGGAACTTCCAGTGCTACAACTGGAAGAGTCCAAGCAAACTAGGTCGGTTAGTTACCTTACCTGTAAACCAGTCCAGGACCAAATAGGAACCTCCACTTGAGTGCAAGGTTTTAGGGCAAAAGCAGAGAAGAGGCTATCTAGGTTCTCAGACTTCTTCTGCTATACCATAGTTAGGAGAGCTGATATTTGCACAATTCCATGTGGCTTGAGATCACAGAATTAGCTAGGGCATGTATGATTCCTGCTTCAGCAGCTCAGTCTCCAACATGCTTCTCCCTCTGGTGAATTCATATTGGGATGCAAGTAAGGCAAAGTAGTGTTATTATAGGAAAACACCTGAATCCACTGTAAGTTACTTAGAAATATAAATCATTCACAAACTATTTATTACAGTAACAAATTACATGGAACACATCTTGCAGCTAATGGGACAAGTGTGTGTGACAGACTATGAACTGCTGGTCAATGGTGTCCATCAAGGGAAGTTAAGACAGGGCAGGCAATTCTCAGGGATTTGGGAGGTAATGAAGTGTCCAGTGCCCGGAGCTGGAGATGCGGCAGGGGCCAGGTGGGAAGGAAACTGGGCAAGGATGCCCCCAACCCTGGGCCTGTGAGCACTTCAGGGGCAAAAGCATAGCTATTTTAAGGTGAGGGGATTTAGGGCTCAGGTGAGTAGTGTTTTTGCTACTTTTTTTCTGGGTTTCTCAAAATCAGAGGCCAGTTCTCTGGAAATCTGCTAGTCCTTAAGCTGTTTTAATTTTATGTAATGTTCCTTTTTAACATTCCCTTTGAATTTCACAAAGGCTTCTATTAAGAATCCAGTCTGCAGAGGTGTGCTACGAACAGCAGGGATTTAAAGGAGCTGTGGGGGCTGGGTGGGAGTTGGCAGCAGCCCACCCCCTGCCCTGCTGCAGTGGGCCCCGCGCTCCAGGCTGTGCGGACGGCTTCCCCATCAGCACACCCTCTGCCCTGCTGCAGTGGGCCCTGTGCTCCAGGCTGTGCTGACAGTTTCCCCATCAGCACACCCTCTGCCTCACCTTTGGCGGTTCCTTGAAAGGTTCGCTGTAGAGGCTGCGTACTCTTCTGCGATCAATGACCTTATTGTCGGCTGGTGTTGGCTTATTGGCCTCCCCTTTGAATTGGGCACTGTAGCTGGTTTCATGAACCATCTTATCATCTGGGGGTTTGTACTGGGGCTTGGCTTTTATTGGTTTCACAGGCTTGATGTCCGTCCAGGCTCTGAATTCATTCCTGTGAATGACAAAGTGTCAGCGCTATGAAGCATCGTATGCTGGCAGCGCTCCTCCCACAGGGCCACAGTGCAGCGAGCTCTCCGGGCTGCAGGGCCACTGGAGTGCAGCTCAGGAGCTCACTTCATGCTTCCTGCAAGGATAAGAGCAAGCTTTCCTTCCTGCCAAGTTAATGCAGGTTGTGGCGACAGCAGCAGCACCTAGGAGAAGGAGCTCTGGTTCCCAGCTCCCACTGTGTGATCAAGGATAGGCACTTCTAATCTTTGGGCCTCATTTTCACAGTATCTAAAATGAGGCTGAAAAACTCCGTCCATTCAGCCATCCGTGAGTTCAACACATATTACTAAACACTTGCTGTGTGTGAGGGGTTATGGAAGTTAAATGGGACAATGTGTTAGACGACGGACCTGGTATTTTGTGGCCAAAGGACAAATGCCCCCTCCTTTCCCCATCTGTCATGATGAAGACCCTCTGTTAGCCAGAGTCTGTAAGGATAATTCCTCCCTTTGATCATGGAGGGCTACTTTCATACTGCTAAAACCTTAATAAGCTTAATCACTTTAGACGAAAATCCTTATGAAATGTCTAAATGCTGCGGCTCACAAATAAGCAAAATGTACCAAATATAATTTGGATATACCATTAGGACTTGTGTTGGGATATATCTGTGTAGGAGAGTCTTCATGTGCTTTGGTGTGAACGGCTACTGGTCCTTACCCTAAATGACTCCCTTATTCTGCTTTTTTTGTCAGTGTGTCAGTACCTCTGCACACTAAGTCCTGCCTGCCTTCTTCACCTGCATGCAGCCTCCCCCGCCACGGGAAGGCACAGCCAGTGAGCCACGCTTCCTGGTGTTCCAGGGACCCTGCAGCGTGTGGCAGGCTGCTCTAGATTTGGAGAGGGAGCATGCCACGTGGTCTTTGAAACAGGATTCCTCCAGTGTTTTATTTATTTTTTCTAGTTAAGAAACCAAACCAAAGAGCTCCTGGAACACTCAGGACTGAGGCAGATGAGAAGCCTCTAATCAATTTTGTGGCCTTTTTTGTTGGTTGGTTGGTTAAAAAAAAAAAAAAGAAAAAAAAAGAGAAGAATAAAAGGAAAGTGCAGTGAAATTTACTCTTTCGCCTCAGCCAGTTTATTGTTCATCTCTTTACTTTGCTCCTTGCTGTCGGGTTGGGCAGCACTGGGACCCTCTGCACTCTTTTTCTTGGAGGCCCGGCCTGACACCACCTGCTTGTCTTTGGCCTTTCTTGGGGGCTTATGGCTTGCCGATGTCTTTTTTGGTTTGGAACTCTGAATACTAGGTTTCTCCACCTGCAGAGAGAGAGAGACAGACCGCAAATACAGAAACACAAAAAGGGAGGGAGCGGGAGAGAGAATTTAGAAAGAAATTGTGATTAATTGAAGGATACTGGCAATGACAACATTTGACACCGAGTCTGCGTAGGGAATGTTTTCAGTGACGTTAGATCCCAACCTGCTGGTTAGTCATTTTAGCAACACTCTCACTGGCCACCTTGGCTCCCTGGACTGCTGCCTCTCAGCCCTTGACCACCTGGGGGTGGACTATGTTACAATTTTGCAGTATTTGCTGTTTTTGCCTGTGGGAAGATTATAGCTCATCACCCTGTTCAACCTGGGTGGGCAAATGATTTGCCTCAGTCCATGATAAGTGAGCAGAAGTGCTGCAGGTCACCTCCAGACAGAGATCAAGAGTCAGCCTGTGTGTCCCAATGCTCTCTTCCTCTGCTGCAGAGAGAGGCTGCTGTGTACCCGGAGGCTCAGACTGCAGAGGTGACCAGGAGTGGAGCTGCAGTTGACCCACGATGACATGCATTAATAAGAAAATAAACCTTTGCTGATGGAAGATGCAGAGATTCTGGGGTGGTTCATTACGGCAGCAGAAGCTTGCCTTTCCTGTTTCTGTTTCTAGGCCTGTGAGCCCGAGTGGAGAAATGTCCTTGCTGAGAGCCTTGGGCCAGGTGGCCTCGTCTTGGTGAGGTCTTCAGCCCCGCCCAGCCATCTGCACCTCCTCTCTGGCCGCCTCCCTGGACTGTCTGCCCAGGGCAACTGTTTAAGTCCACTCCACTCTCCTCAAGTTCCCTCCTCTAGCTCTGCCCCTCACTCCTAGGAGAAGGCCTTGTTTGGCCTTGTCTTCTCTTTCTCAAGAACTCTGAGGCCACTATATATGATCCCTCAATATGCCACTCACCTCCCATCTATCTCTAGATTGACTTTTCCCAATCTTCTCCCCTTCTTCCCCTTGAATCTTCTTTTGTCCAAAGACTTTCCATGTCCTGGGTCCCACCTTATCTGTGGAAGGTGGACAGAGAAAATGTTGGGCCTCACAGGCTAGACTGTTCACTCCATGAGGCCTGAGGGTTTTCAGTCACCCCGAATTGTAAATAAGGTGATCCGTTGTCCTGGTTTGCCTGGGATGGACGGCTTTCTCAGACCATGGAACTTCCAGTGCTACAACTGGAAGAGTCCAAGCAAACTAGGTCGGTTAGTTACCTTACCTGTAAACCAGTCCAGGACCAAATAGGAACCTCCACTTGAGTGCAAGGTTTTAGGGCAAAAGCAGAGAAGAGGCTATCTAGGTTCTCAGACTTCTTCTGCTATACCATAGTTAGGAGAGCTGATATTTGCACAATTCCATGTGGCTTGAGATCACAGAATTAGCTAGGGCATGTATGATTCCTGCTTCAGCAGCTCAGTCTCCAACATGCTTCTCCCTCTGGTGAATTCATATTGGGATGCAAGTAAGGCAAAGTAGTGTTATTATAGGAAAACACCTGAATCCACTGTAAGTTACTTAGAAATATAAATCATTCACAAACTATTTATTACAGTAACAAATTACATGGAACACATCTTGCAGCTAATGGGACAAGTGTGTGTGACAGACTATGAACTGCTGGTCAATGGTGTCCATCAAGGGAAGTTAAGACAGGGCAGGCAATTCTCAGGGATTTGGGAGGTAATGAAGTGTCCAGTGCCCGGAGCTGGAGATGCGGCAGGGGCCAGGTGGGAAGGAAACTGGGCAAGGATGCCCCCAACCCTGGGCCTGTGAGCACTTCAGGGGCAAAAGCATAGCTATTTTAAGGTGAGGGGATTTAGGGCTCAGGTGAGTAGTGTTTTTGCTACTTTTTTTCTGGGTTTCTCAAAATCAGAGGCCAGTTCTCTGGAAATCTGCTAGTCCTTAAGCTGTTTTAATTTTATGTAATGTTCCTTTTTAACATTCCCTTTGAATTTCACAAAGGCTTCTATTAAGAATCCCGTCTGCAGAGGTGTGCTACGAACAGCAGGGATTTAAAGGAGCTGTGGGGGCTGGGTGGGAGTTGGCAGCAGCCCACCCCTGCCCTGCTGCAGTGGGCCCCGCGCTCCAGGCTGTGCGGACGGCTTCCCCATCAGCACACCCTCTGCCTCACCTTTGGCGGTTCCTTGAAAGGTTCGCTGTAGAGGCTGCGTACTCTTCTGCGATCAATGACCTTATTGTCGGCTGGTGTTGGCTTATTGGCCTCCCCTTTGAATTGGGCACTGTAGCTGGTTTCATGAACCATCTTATCATCTGGGGGTTTGTACTGGGGCTTGGCTTTTATTGGTTTCACAGGCTTGATGTCCGTCCAGGCTCTGAATTCATTCCTGTGAATGACAAAGTGTCAGCGCTATGAAGCATCGTATGCTGGCAGCGCTCCTCCCACAGGGCCACAGTGCAGCGAGCTCTCCGGGCTGCAGGGCCACTGGAGTGCAGCTCAGGAGCTCACTTCATGCTTCCTGCAAGGATAAGAGCAAGCTTTCCTTCCTGCCAAGTTAATGCAGGTTGTGGCGACAGCAGCAGCACCTAGGAGAAGGAGCTCTGGTTCCCAGCTCCCACTGTGTGATCAAGGATAGGCACTTCTAATCTTTGGGCCTCATTTTCACAGTATCTAAAATGAGGCTGAAAAACTCCGTCCATTCAGCCATCCGTGAGTTCAACACATATTACTAAACACTTGCTGTGTGTGAGGGGTTATGGAAGTTAAATGGGACAATGTGTTAGACGACGGACCTGGTATTTTGTGGCCAAAGGACAAATGCCCCCTCCTTTCCCCATCTGTCATGATGAAGACCCTCTGTTAGCCAGAGTCTGTAAGGATAATTCCTCCCTTTGATCATGGAGGGCTACTTTCATACTGCTAAAACCTTAATAAGCTTAATCACTTTAGACGAAAATCCTTATGAAATGTCTAAATGCTGCGGCTCACAAATAAGCAAAATGTACCAAATATAATTTGGATATACCATTAGGACTTGTGTTGGGATATATCTGTGTAGGAGAGTCTTCATGTGCTTTGGTGTGAACGGCTACTGGTCCTTACCCTAAATGACTCCCTTATTCTGCTTTTTTTGTCAGTGTGTCAGTTTTCCTGTCCATAGCAATCTCTCTCGTGGATTCTAATCAGCTGTTTCTCATCTGTTAAAGGGCTGGCAGGTAGACGGTAGCAATGTTCAGAACAGGGTAGAATAAATGTAGCTGCTGATGGAGGCCACAGCATCCATCCCGCTTGCTGAGCGCATGATATTCAGTGCATAAGCTCTGCGACTCCAGAGGTCTTGAGTGGGTCTGCTCTCATTTGGGGCCATAGAAGCTGTGATATGGGAAAGGAAGAGTTAGCGTACAGCTCTCTGTGCAGTGAGATGCTTCCAATGCGCTCCTTTAACCTCACTGATAACTCCTTCCTTTAGGGCTTGAAGTACCCTAAACAGGAGGCCACAGGGTACAGCAGAGAGAGCTTGGACTGTGACAGACACACAGGTCCCAGCACTGCCTCTGACTAGCTATTGAGCAGGCCTCTCCCCTCTCTGAGCCTTAGTTTCCTTGCTTGTTGAATAAAAGAATTAGGCCAGACAATGTCCTTATAATGTCTTTCTAGCTCTGAGTTTCTCAGAGTCCATAAAGCTGGTTTGATAACATTGAGCCACTTGCTGGTCAGTTGACCCTCTGAGGGATATTGGCTCATTGTGAACAGAGAGAGCACATTTCTTAAGAGACCTCCCCAAGCTTCATAACTCACCTTTCCAGTGCAGCCTGGAAACCTCCACCTAGTTGCCCCACCAATGCAAACGCAACATCCCTGGAAACAAACCATCTTGTCTCCCCTGCCAGACTATCCTCATTCCCTCATTGCTCAATTTCACCCATCATTCATTCATTCATCCATTCACAAAACATTTACGGAGTGCTTAAGGTCCTCCTGGAAGGGTCCTGAGCTCTGTAGAGCCCAAGCTGAGTGAGAATGCCCTGGGCTCAAGGTGCGGGAGGTAGAGGATTTGAGGTTACTGCAGGACAATAAGGAAAGAGCCACAAAGGAAGAGGGAGTAGGGAACACAGGGGAGGGGTTCCTACACCAGTAGGGTGGGGGTTCTGGAGTGGAGTGAAAGCCGCTGACAGTGCACTGGCCAGGGTGCCGGGCAGAATGAGGTGTACATTGAAGAGGCTCACCAGAGGTGCGGCCCCTGTGGGACCTGCAGGCAGTTCTGGTGGCTGGGCTGAGGTTTGTGAGGAAGGGCAAAAGAGGCTGGACTGGTTATGATAGGCTTGCCAGCTATGCTAAGGGGATGGTCTGGATTGTAACAAGCTGTTGCCAAATAACCTCAAGCCAAGGATGAGCGTGGCCAGATCAGTTCTGGGGAAGAGAACTTTGGCAGCGTGTGAATGGTGGACAGAATGGGAGAGGTAAGGGAGGTGCCAGGCACGATCCTGTGCAGAGAGTCAGGAGGAAAGCAGAGGCCTGAGCCCAGAGAGCAGGAGTCGGGAAGAGAGCAGGGCAGAGTCAGGAGAGAGTTGGGTAGGACTTGAAAACAGCAGAGCTGTGGGAGGCCCAGGTCTCAGAGGAATCTGGGGAGACCCCAGCATTTGGCTGGTGGGCAGAAGGGCTACCTACCCACCTGGGGAAACTGGGAGTGCAAGGGGCTTTGGGAGGAGGGTGGAGACTGTCCTGTTGCTGTTAATGGTACCCATCTGCTGTGGCAACAAGGCTGCTCTTTGCTCCTTTTCTCTCTTCCCATCTCCACTTCCACAGGTTAAACCAGTTACTGTGGCCTGATATCTGAGCCAGTTAGGCGCTACACACAGGCCTAGGGCTGGCCCAGGATCCATTTGAGGCTCTGGCCACTACTACTACCTGCCTAAGGCTCCAGGCCTTCCCTCCTTCTGTCCACTCAGCAGGAACAAACCCTGCTGGAGCCCCGGATACTTGGCCTGGACCTCCTGGGAACCAAACCGTTAACAACCTGGCTCCAGAATATACAATGGCAGTAACCAGGAGCCTCTGCTCCTACCCTTGCCTGCTTCGGAGGACTGAGGTATGTATACACTGGCCCCAAGCACTGTTTCTGGGTCATCTCTCCCAGGCCAGCCTCTGAAGCTTTCTGTATCTCTACGGTGGCCCCTGTTGGGTGGCAAGGGTCTCATTGTAAGCATTGTTCATGGGCTGTGTCTTCGTGGGAGAAGCTCGGTAACCCCTGATCTTGAACAACCTTGGTACCTCATCTGCATGTGAGACTGTGAATGAATCCCATGAGCTCACTGTAATCATGACAGACTGTTAATTTAAACAGACCGTGCTCCTTAGAACTCTGAACTCTCCACAGCACGTTCCTCAGGCAAGTGCAACAACTAATCACATGTCAAACAAACAGAAGTTGCTGCTGCTCTCCAGTCGCCTTTTGTAAGCTAGTGGGTTGTTTTTTGTTTGTTGATAAATTCTCTATAATCCTTACCACTCTGAAAGGAGGCAGTATTATACCCCTTTTACAAGAAAGGTAACCACAGCTCAGAGAGGGTAAGTGGCTTGCCTGAGGGCACAGCTGGCAGATAGCAGAGTTGAAATCTGAGCCAGGGTCTGCCAGGCTCCACAGCCCCCAGCCTTCCCACTGCACTTGGGCGATGCGTTAGTGCTGCGGCGTCCTTGGCCTGCCCTCCCTGGAGGTGCCTGTGAGGGCTCTGGCCTGCGTCTGTAATGCCCTGGAGGGCTTCTATGACACGATCTGGACTAGATGGCACAGCTCCTCCAGCCCTGAGATGCAGCTCCCAGAGCAGTCTGGGCCACTCTCAGGCCAGTCATGCCCAGTGCCTCTCACCACAAGTTCGTGGTCCCCCAGCCAGATTTCAGCTGGATCATTCATTCATTCAGCACTTGCCGAACACCCAACACTGGCCAAGGGTGTGGCATGTGGCCCACGGGGAGGAATAAGCCAGGGTTGATGTGTCTAGAGTTTAGCAGGTCAGCATCTGTTCATCTGTGACCCTAGACAAACGGGGCTGGGTTCAGAGGGAAAAGGATGCTTCATTCTGAAGGGGGACAGCAGGGAAGGGAGCACTGCAAGTTACGGAGAAGTTGACAAGGGGAGCTTAGGCAGCAGTCTGCATCTGGGGACAATTCAGAGAGTGGGTGAATCGCTCAGGGTGCTGGAGGGTGGGGTCCTAGGAGGGATGTCAAGGTGACCAGGCTGCGTAGGAGCTGTGGCCAGGCTGTGCAGAGCCTGGAATGCCCTGCTTGGAAGCTTGTGGTAGGCCTGGGGACCTGCTGAATGTTTTTGCTCCGCTGTGGGCGGTGTCCTCCTCCTCTCAGCCCGCCCCAATTTTAATTATTCTTCAAGGCCCAGCTCAGGACTCTCCTATTCCAGAAACCCCTCCTGCACTTCTCAGCCCGAAGTTTCCCATCTCTTGGCTTCTGGACACCTTACTGTACTGTAGGTAGTTACCAACTGTAACTAGCTTTGTGGTTACCTATGTAGCTTCACATTCTTAATTCTTTCTTGAGTTCATTTTGTCTCTCTTGTGGGTCAAGATGCTTAATAGAAAAGTCATGGTAGAACCCTGCCTTTGAGCTCAATCTCATTCACATGGCTGTGAAGGGACAGCCTTTGACTTATCCTGTGACCTCCTGCAGGTTAGGGATGAGCTGGGTGAGGATCCCAGTCTCCACATGCCCCACCAAGGGCCCTTCCCTCACCCAGGTCCCTGCTCAGAGCCATGCTCCATATCTTTCTCACATTCTTCACAGGATTTAAAGGCTTGGCATTGACTATTTAGTGAAAGTAGCTACTATCTGATTTAGTTTCTGGTCACCTCACAGCCCTCCTCCTGAACCCTTCCTGCCCCGCCCGGTTGGGGCAGACACTTGCTCCCTGGTCACATGGTAACATCCCATACATACTTCTGTTCCAGTGCCAATCATGCTGAAATGAGCATGTGCACACAGGCTTATCTCCTCCCTTAGATGGAGCACCTCTTCATTAGGGACTGAGCTCTTCTCTGCTGCCTTGAACAGGACAGAGGAAAACCCTCAAGAAATATTTGGAGGATTAGAGACAATCAAGCATATCATTCTATTTCAGATACCTATAAGGCTGCTCATATTTAGGGCTTCTATTATTGCTTAATACCACCCCCTAAAACCCATGTTCCCCAAGTCTTTAGGTCCTTGTATGGTAGAGTTTCCCTTACTAAACATCTGGAGTCTCCCAAGCTTTCATAAAATCCCTCCTCCCTAGATTGACAGGAGACAGCCCAGTGCTTGCTGAGTGAAGCAGCGACGACGGTAAAGGGCTGGGGGCAGGAAGGAGACCCTGAGAATCAGGGGGCCGGTAAGGAGAGG